GAGCCTTTCGAACATTCCCAGCTTTTATAACCTCCTCAAGCGACGAAATTGAATTCGTGTCAGTTATTTTCAGTTGACGGAAAGAACTGCAAAAGGGAAGAGATTTGACCTGACTTCCACACTGATTTACATGGAGTGCAGGAGCTTATCAGATTTCATGTTACAGTTCGTGAAATTGCGATTGAAGGCGATTTCTCATGTGGACCAAATGAACTAAAACTTGTACCAGGTACCAACCAAAGCATTTTTATCTGATCGAACTGACCTGTACTGAAGGACTGGGCTGGAATTTCGGTTTTTTTGATGCATTATGAAAGCTATCACTTAGCATAAGACTCAACAATGACCATGCACTTCCAGCATGCGGATACGCTCGTACACATTCCTGCAACCGAATCGAAACTGATTTTTGCAGTCAACATTCGATTCACCGTTAATCTCTTCGGACAGAATCACCTACACATTCTCATAGAATATCATCAATCTATTTTTGGATCATTCTCGTTTTTAAATGTTAATTGCTGTAAATGGCTCGAAACGATCCTGAGTTGGTCTTTAACAAATATCATACAAGTAGCGATTTCTCTACCCAGTTCATCCCTTACGATTAGTGTAAAATCCTACCTGAACCACGTTTCCGGTTAGCTGGTTGAGTGATATACTTTTACATATGGCAATTTCTACCACTACCACGTTTTTCCGCACAGTTAAAAACAAAAATGATCCTCACCTGACTAAACATTACTTCTGCGAGCACTTCACCAAAGAAATCCCAGAAATTTCGCTGAAATCCTAGCGGCTCCAACCGTGAATGAATTCTCGCTAAAAGCATTTGTATCTGATCGAAGGCTCTAACAGAATTCAGAATTGATCACAAAACGATCACACAAAACATTGCTGATTAATCCAAGTGAAAATGATCTCGACTCTCATATCTTGATCATAGTTTTTCCCATAGTTTTTTGGTATGGATTCCGCTTTAAATATCCCAAACTAACTCATCATATCCGTTAAAAGAACAATGCAAGACTCGAGTCAAGCATTACCAATCGAGTACGGATCGAGATGTCCATGCTTGAGCGGTTTGTCTGAGACGGCACAAATGATATCGTCAATGAAATCCACTAGAAGATGAGCGTGATCTCGGATTGTCGCTATGGTTCGCTCAGGATGCGTCGTGTTCTTGTTTCGTTTCTTATCTTCCACACAGCTCAGAAAAGCACTCCGATAGAAGATCGGCATCACGTCTGCACAATTTTCAACCATTTTCTCGAACACCTTGAGAAAACATTATCAGTTCTTCAATATTGATTTATAACCGATTGGCCAATCGATTTTTGAGAAAGAATCTCAAAAAATCAAATCAACAAGTTTAGGAATCATATCGATATCGTGAATATTTTTAAGAATGACATGATACTGCAAAGCGAAGGCGAAGGCAATCGAACAACTCGATTAAAGCTGAGCAAAAGCAAGTGTGCATGAATGAATGTATACCTTCTCCATGATGTTAATATTACCACGACCAGACGTTCGAGGTGCTTCCGAAAGCCGTTTCCATGTGATTCGTAGTGCGCGATTCTGAATGCACAATCTCTATGATCAACAAATCGCATCGTTTAATTCACTGATCTATTGATCACTCATCAGTACCTTGTGAATCAATCCGCTAAACTTTTCAAGTTCTCTTTGTATTGCCTTTACAAATTGATTGTATAAGAATTAAACTGAAATTCCTGAAACCATCAATAAAATGACGGAATCGCCATGAAAAACAACAACCTGAAAAGTGTTCATTCGTGATTTCAAATGATTAGCGAATTGTTGCAAAGCAATTTCACTGCTGTTGGTAATCGCTGCTTGCTGATCATCTTCATTGGACGGAAGCGATGCTAGCTTGCGATTCTCGATGAACGATGACTTGGTGAATGTGGATACTGGAATGATTTATGTTCATGGTTATAAACTCATCAAACTGACTTGAAAATGTGACCGAACTGTCAACAATCATGACCTTGAATAGTAAGAAAATCCCTGACAAACAATGTTCTTCGCAAAAAATTACTCACTTGCCACCAGTATCTTCTCAAGTTGTTAGATTCTCCAGTTTTCTGGAAAAACAGGGGAAATATCCCTAGAGGTGTGAGTATCTTTCGATATATGATTGCCAAGTTAAATCTTTTTGATCGTATGTGTGTGGAATTGATTTTCAAACGAGACTGAAAACAATCCCAAACAAGAGTCGCATCGGAGCATTGCGATGAGTTGTTTTTGCGATTGTTCAAAAATGAATTCACTGAGGGGATTTTCCGTGAAAATACCTCCAGGAGGTGATGCGGATTCGGCGAGTTCTCCCTCCCAAGCGTTCCATCCATCCGTCATCTCCTGAATCATGCGACGCCTCTGGATCGCTTCCTTTATTCGCATCATCTTGGCTGAGTTTTAGTTGAATTTTGACCTCTATGCAAACTGCAAAGCACTGAAGTGTTACCATTCAAGTCTACCATCAAAATACAGCACCATCGACATAAACAGTCACAAATCGCAGCAGTCACATGAACATACGATGTATGGAGTGCTGATCACGACGCATTATCCATACCTCCAGACAATGGCCTAGCCAGGATTTCTTCCAAGGCTTGGAGGGAGGGGCCCTCTTCTTTTTCCCTTTCTTCCACCCTTCCGACAGCTGATTTCCTAAACAGCCTACTGATTTAACATATCTATCTTACCTTTTCCCAGTATCAGAAAAATTAATATGTTCTCAATCGGAAACGTGTTTGCTCGACGCGTAAACGACTCCATACATTTTGTTGTCTGCATGGGCTATACTGAGCCGATACATCAAATATGAAATCCCGAAATTCAGAACCCTCACAGCCACAAGTCCTATCAACTACAATTACTTCAGTTATTTCGACATATCAAGCATATCTTCATGCATTCGGAAACCACACTTATATTTGTGATCAAAAACTTCGCTATCCTGAATATACCCTGGACATTTTGCTCATTTCGGGTCAAAAATTGTCAAAGAACTGACATTCTCTGGAATATCAAACAACAAACGAAAGACATAGATAGTGAAAGAATAAGTGAGTCGTCGGCCAAACAACCGAATAATTCAATTCGATGGCGTGTGCAAGTTTTAGCGTCGAATAATCGAATGAGCACGGTGTGTAACAACTGATTTAAATACCGAATCGTTGATAGGTTTGAATGGAGCTTCGGATTGCAACAACCGTATAAATGAATGATGAAAATGGATCATCAAACTGCAATAGTTGCAGAAGTAACGAGCAAATGATATCGTCATCATTGGGCTTTTACTGAGAGTCTTCAAGCCAGAAAATAAGTAGAAATAAGAAGTAGCTCTTAAGGATCGCCGTAAGCTGCTCGGTTGACCTGGACTACTAGAATATCAAGAAATCATATCGGATTTCACTTGAGTCCACCACAATCAGGAAGGATCCATCATTCATTCAAGAGGGCGCATGAACTGTGATACTGAATGATTTGCTTGAGTAACAGGGCACTTTCGAATGAAATTAGATACTTTTGCAATCTACCGAAAAAAACAAAAAAATGCCATCCATCCAATTGAAAAGAGATGATGCTATCGAAAAGTGATATGAAAATGAGATAAGGAATATAAGAAAATCTATCGTTCGCTCACCCTTTCAAGGGATTCAATTTCATTTCGAGAGCTTCTCAGTCTCCCTCGGTTAAATATTTTGCATCATTCATCAGGTAAATGCACTAATAATCATCCTCACGCGAAATACNNCTGTAAAATCATGATGGACATATGTGAAAGTTCTAAGCCGACCCAAAAGGTTTCTTCCATCTCAACTGTTCAATTTGTTTGCGCTGAGGACAACTAGAACAAAACTGATCAATGCTGGATTTTCTGTGATCTTTGGTTAGTATCGGCAGGAAATACTTTCGTTATTTCATCGATCATGAATAGACTTTATTTATTATTTATGAATAATTGTGCTGAATAAACGAACGGAACCATTCGGACAGCTTTTTACCGCTTAATTGCACACATCTAAATCAAATTTCAATGCCGAGAATGTAACGCATGCTTTGGAAACAAATGATTACGGATGTATGGAGAAATGAATTAAATAAGGAGTTCTTGGACAGTGGTACAGCAAAACACTTCGTGATACATCCTGGCCTACTGCTCAAATAGTAACTTAATCTGGTTTGAATTTCTCGAAGGTGGAAGTCAAAAAATGAGTAAATTGCAAAATGAATAAATTTATTACATTCGGCAAACAGCAAACAGCAAACAGTGCTATCGGAATGTTAATTCGTTTGAAAGTCACCAAATGAACGACAGATGAGAATATTTTAGAGTCTGATCAGTGGCTAATAGAATGAATGAAACTGAAATATGCTACTATCACATCTTTTGTCCATCTTTGTTGGTTTCTCAAAAATATCACAAAAATTTGATTCCATAATTAATCTTTGAAAGAAATCACAAATTTGCAATGAAAAGAATCTTACGATTGCAACTGGAGTCTAGCATACAATTTTCGCGCACTACAAATGAAGTCAAGTCATCGAGAATGTACCAGCAAACTTACTACACTCATCCTCCACATAAACCTTATTATCGGTTTGCTCAAAATTTTTGTCAACTGATAAATTTCGAAGTTTGAACAACTGAACATTCAAAGTGACCTCAACGAATTCCGTTTCACTCATCGATAAAATTTCATTCCGGAGTCTAACACTATTCCAGCATCGCGCCTATTGCGAAATTCAGTGTGGTCAAAAATTTCCATGCGATCATGTTTTGAGCAAATTGATATAGCTGAAGATAGATGACCTCAATGCTGANAGAAAAACCTAAGCAGCTATAACATCAGCAGAATCAGCCACTCGTCTCAGCGGTTTATCAGCGATGCATTCAAACAGCCTAAGACGTGTGGTCAAATAAGCGCTGTTGTTAAGCTCTGATCTTCTACTATGACTTCATGCAAAGATATACGAATCGTAAGCCACAAGGCGTTCAAAAAATTGCATAATGCATGTAAGATGGCATGATTAATGATATCATGACATATTGTGTGCGGAAACAATCATAAAAAGAGAAGAAGAAAACGTCCAGAGCCATTACATGCAGAGCAGTCATTAAGTTTCAATTTCGACTATGTAATTCACGACAGGAAAACAACAATTTTTGAATTAAGCTATAATATGCGCCCAGTCGATGTCAGATATACACAAGCTCAACCCACTTGCGAATCGAACCGAAAGTCCTTCCTCGAAGAAATGCATAAGGAACCAGAAGAATCTCATTAGATCTCGGATCAAATTCCATTGCGATCACACAAAATAACAGAACCCATGACAATTACGTATACATTAGTATTAGCAGATTAATTCCTAATGTTCTTGATGTTTCATGAGCTCTTAAATTTGTGACCCATACTTGAAGATGTTCTCGGAGATGCCAATTATTATCAGAGAATATTCTCAGGTTTTCATCCAACGGAATATCAGCTGGGTCTTACAGCAGATCCTAGTGGTTGGCAACGATTTTATGGTGTTTTTTGCTTCTTGTAAAATGGACAACTTGTAAATTCCGTTTGTAAAGGGTAAATCAAGCAATGGATTTTCCGTTGCCACCTACATCGATCGCCATCAACATCTGAGAGTGTACGGGTGGGTATTTGTCACTGGGGATAATAGCCGATTGAATGCAGTCACGGAAAGTCATTCATGTGATAAGTTGTTCTTGTAATCCTTCTACGGACAGCAATTCAAATTTGTTTCGTCATTATGAAACGAAACAATCATGAAAAGAAACATTCCATTGCACTGTATACAATGCCTTATTGAAGCATCCTGCATCCCAGTTATCGTCTCGCAAGATCAGTATAACCACGCAGATCATTGTGATCATCATCGAGCGAATTAACGGAATCACTCAAAAAATACTCCGCCTGCAAAATAATTCACAATTCAGAATTCCTCTCAAGAAATCATCCATCACCAACGGCTCAACGTGAACACTGCGTTTCTTGGAAAGAATATTTCAATGTTACTTGAAGGTGAGAAATTGCTAATTTATGCTTTAAACGGCGAGGAGTTTTAAAGAAAAGTGGAGCACAGTCTCTTGCGTAATGATATTTCTACTGCAGTCAATCTGTTCTATGGAACAGAACAATTCCTTAAAAAATTCGCGAAGAACAGAGCGGCACAGAGCAATTGAAGAACGGAATAGAACAGAATAGAAGAACGGAATAAAATAATGTTCCAAAAATGTGCAACAGAAAGATTAGTAATCGCAACCAAGAACTATCGTCTGGAGAAAGTCTGAAATTTGGTATGCGTCAGAGCGCATGATCGCTAAAATATGGAACTTGCAGGGATATTTATGAGGATAAAGTGAAAATTATCGAACGAAGGAAAATGAAATATCACAGCACAAATTGATAGACACAGACACATAGGACTATAAAATATTCATCGCATTTCATAACAACACTGATAATAATAATAACAATAATAATAATAGTAACAATTATCGTGCAAACCACTCTCGGTTGAACGATTATGCTTTAAACATGTTTGGAAACTATTTGAAGGGGCACATGAGACCGTCGTCATGTGGTTGCGATCGATGCCTGAATCTGTTGATTGCTATAGAATAGCTGTGCTCTACACCAAAGAGCATCAAAAGGTTGCATTTCACCTTGTCATTGCTGAGAATTTCAAATGCACGCATGCATGAAATTTTCGTCATTTCGATTGAGCAAAATTCAGCACATCAACTAACTGGGAAGGAATTGAATACGAAAAAATCTTATTGGTCCTATGGAGCATATTTGTGTTGTTATCAAAAGTGTGTGTGAGTGATACAGACGACTCAAGCTATTTGTTCCACTAGCAAAAGGTATGAACAGAACTGAATTGTAACTGATCTCTAATGAAATACATTCACCGATACTTATATTACACTTATGAATGGGATTCATCAAGGATTTTGCACATTCAAGAAACTGTCATAATCGTTCATTCAACGAAATTGAATCGAGACCCATTAAAATTGAAACCAATAAATGACGCTCGCTCATAAATGTGAACCGAATGAAATCATTTATTCATGAATATTGCATTTATCAATCATTTATTTGCATGAATGAATTGAATTGAAATCTTTGCATTTCTGATTTCCGCCAGCTGCTTCATCTACGCTTCTTCATGAATGCAATTGTGATCTATTCGATTCACACATTCCAACAGCCAATTTCCAACAACGAAAAGTTTTCTTGAATGAATCATTCGAGAATTTATCATAAAAGTGATAATTAAGAAAAAA